TTTCAGTCTTAAAGTTGGTAGGGTGCGGCAATTAGTCTGAAAGCGCTTTATGCGCATGTTAGAAGAAATCTAGAGGCGTAAGTTTACAAGTTCTGTTGGCTTAACTAACTTGAAGTCTCGGGTGAGACCGGGACCACCAGCTAGTATATATATAAAACTCAATGTCTGCGAGGATGTTCGTTTAATTGTTCGTTCGTTATAGAAACGCCAGCCATTGAACCGATTGAGCTGAAACTTCGCACACATATGTTTTCGACCCCGGCGGTGGTTTATAGCTACTTTTTATGGCGGTTCGCAGGGTCCTTCTATTGATTTATTGATTTGTTTACTTAAATCTGGGAAAATGAAAGTCTGACGTGCTCTAACCAATCATTTTCCAGTAAACATGTAAGCAGGGGTGGTAAAGTTTATTCTACTCTTAAGGTCGACAGGATGCAGCGGGTTCGTCTCAAAGCGCTTTTCGCGCGTTGTAGTAGTTAGAAAGTGTAAGTATGATCGAATTCCAGATTCGTGTGGAGGCGCTGCCGACTTCACTGATTTCAAGGATAAGCTCAACGAGAGAGAAAGAGCGCGAAATACAGTGCTATAACGTGGAGCTTTAACAAGTTTACCCTGAAGATCAGGGAAGTTCGCAACCGGCCTCTGCACGAATCTGTGAGCCGATGACATATTAGTTAAACTAAGAGTCTCGGGTGAGACCGGGGCCCTCAGCTAGTCACGACTAAAATGTAAACAACTACCCATTTCGAAAGCTTTTTCATGTGAAATTGGTGATTTTGCTTGGATGAAACTTTTTGCAGAAGAACCAAGCGCAAATCTGAATAGATTTTTGAATTTTCCGTTGTTTTGATAGTCGCCATAGAACAATAATCATCATGAGCTACATCTTTGTGCAAAAGCCTTGTTAAATGTTTGGGTAAAACCTTGGCAATTTGACCATATTACGCAACCCATTCTTTCTGGCGCCGTTTATGTGAAGTAGTAGATATTGGATTACTTCTTTGGGCCCAATCCATGGTTTGCGCATTTACTTTCCAAACACATCCACGACTCTGCAAAAAGTGGAAACACTGAACCAGTTTCGCTGGCCAGAAGCCAAGTAGATCCTTCTGACGCGCAGTTTCTGAGGGATCTACTCAACGAATCTGCTCGTGCTTTCGCATATTGGACTTTCATGCTGGTAGCATGCACCGTGCAAAATTTGGACTTAGGACGTTGGCTGGAACACGCTCTACGATTTTCGTAACAAACACACACCCACACACAAAGTCACGTAAACATCCTTAGCCCGTTATTATCATGACTCATAATAACAAGCTAAAAATTTTACGCCATTTTGTGTGTGTGTGTCCGTGTGTGTGTCTGTCTGTCCGTCGAAATTCGTAGACCATGTTTCAACCAACATCCTGAGCCCAAATTTTACATGGCGCATGCTAGCAGATGAAAGTTCAATACGCAGAAGCGCTAGCAAATCCATTGAATGAATCCCTTAAAAACTGCACGTCAATGGGTCCACATTGCTTCTGACCAGCAAAATTTGGCGTGTAGCACCACTTTTTGCGAAGTCTTGTATAGGCTCAACAAGTTAGTGTGCAAGCTAAGGACTTTAGCTCAAGAAAGTATGCAAAAGTTTTTTTTTTTCACAAGAACGGCGCCAGAAAGAATTGGTTGCGTAAATGATCAATTTGCCAAGATTTCACTTGATCATTTGTGGAGATTTTTGCACATAGTTGTAGCCCACGTTGGTTACCGCCCTCAAGGCGACTATCAAACCATAAAAAATACAAAAACTAATTCAAATTCCTATTTGTTTTTTTTGGGGAAAGTCGAAAAACCTGTCTCACATGCAAAAGCTTTATGAATGAGTAGTTGCTTACAGATTATTCGTGACAGTCTGCATAGTGCGGTGAGTTTTAATGGCATTATTGCGGAAGTAAGGCGTACAGACAGTAGGACCAGTGCGAGCCTTTGCGAAGCAGAGGTGACGCACTGGTAATTACCCTAATTTCACGCGTACAAGACGCGGGGGAAATTTTTCCAAAATCGACGAGGCCAACCACGCCGAAGGACTCCGCAACCAAAGGACCATATACCTTGCTCTATATTGCTATAAGAATCGTACGGCATAATAATCGCTTCCCGAGATACAGTGAAGCGGCTAAGCGGCTTATCTGAAAAATCGAAAAAGGTGCGCCTTGTACGCGTGAAATTAGGGTAATATTGGGTTGTCGGATAATTTCTGTTACACTTTTTTTTTCTAGAAAATTTCAAAAGCTTTCTGAAAATCTCAAATTTCTAACACGTTTAGGACATAGCAGGGTCTAGCCATCAGCATTACTGATGCCGCAATTGCACTAATGATCAACAAGTTTACGACAGTTTTGTAAAAGCAGTCAAATTTTTCAGTTTTTGTCTAATCTTTTTCTCTGCACTTACTTGCGCTTTTTGTCTTCCAGAATTTCAAAACGTATTTGGAATTGTCTCTTACATGGAGGTATTTTGGTGCCTCTAACATCTCAAAAACGAGGTGTGAATAAAATATCAAAAAAATTCAAAACTTTCCTAAATTCTTCTTTTTATGTGCATCGTATAGAACTGACTACAGAAAACCTAAAATAATTTTTCGGAATTTTTTGAAAACGTTTTCTTCGTAAAAATTCTGATGATTGCAAAGATGACGCAGACTGAGATTTGAAGCTCAGAAACGTGTACAGACCTGCGTTATCCACCCATACTAGCTAATCGCTACAGACTATGCCCTACCTGAATACCACATTATCCGGTCTATCGCTCATCACCTGAGAGAACGCCAGCTCATTTACAAAAACGGGAAGAAACGGACTTTCAGCCACAAAGTGGGTTTTTTGCGCACAGATCGCGGATGCGACGGTGCCCTTGTATAGGCCTTTTGACCCTGCCCACGCGTTGTAAACATGAGATCTTTCCAAAGCTTCTGAAATTTTTGAGAACTAAAATAAAAAGTGTAACAGAAATTATCCGAACCTAACAATAGATTACAAATACAAACTTTTCAGAGACACCATCAAGCTTGTTCAACAATGTGTGCAGAGCAAAAATCGAATCTTCTAGTCTTAAATTAAAGAATTCTTTTTTTTTCGCAATAAAGGGTTATGCATATCATCAAGATACTTTTATGCAGTTAAGCTATCTGTTCGCTGTTGACTGAGTTAGACAGATAATATTAAGACTTATAAGGGACTAAAGGATGTTCACGTTAGTGTGTGTCTGTCACGAAATTCATAGACTATATCCCAACAAAGGTCTTAAGACAGATTTTTGATCATAGCATCCTACTAGCATGTAAGTCCAATGTACGAAAGCACAAGCCAATCCAATGAACGGAATCCCCGAAAAATATGCGCCCAATGGATCCTGCGGCTTTTACCCTACTTAGCTGGCTTTGTAATCGAACTTAAGGATTAATTTAATTAGCATATGTATCTTCAAAACATCGGCTTTAGCATAAAAGTCATCGAAATCACCATTCTGTTCGTCTTTTTGTCTTTTGTCTCTCTCTCTTTTATGGCGCCAAGAAATAATTGCTCAAATGGCCGAATTGTTTCTTACAATTGATTGAAAAATATAAAAGATTTTTGCTAAGAGATGTAGCTCGCAATAGTCGTTCTCATCTGATAGCTATGAAGCCGCGATATATTCGGTAGCCAATCCAAAATCGCATTCATTTCTTGGCAAAGGTTTCCTCTCTTAAAGCTAATGTTCACATGGAAATGCTTTTAGGATGAGTAGTTGTTCATAATTCATTCGTAAAGCTAGCACGTGCGCGTGAGTTTCAAAGCCATTATTATGCAAGCTGAAAGAGGCACTTGGGTAGCAAAACCAGTGCGATCTGTTGAGCAGAATGGGCACTGTTCTGAAAAATAACAAATACACTCAGCAGCCGACTCGCACTGATAAAGCAAGAGGTTATCATATGGATATATTTATTTTTTAGTATAAATTTGCTTATAATTGTTTTATTCGTCTATCTCGCTTTCTCTTGTGATAAACAAACTTTTAAGGTTGGAGAGGGTGCAAGAATAAACGGTATTTCGCTTTTGTGCATTACCTGAAGACTGTCACGAACCCAAACCGCTTCCATTCTTGTATATTCCTCCAAGTTTAGAGTATTTTCATCGCAAGCGGAACTGTGAGAACGAACGGGCAAACAGTAAGATTTATAGGACGCCCAAATCCCAGTCTCGTCAAAACACAACCGAAATTCGCGCAGCTATTGTAAAGATTATATCAGTCTTCTCCAAAAGCTGGTACCATTGAGGACAGCAACTTTTGAAATGCAAAAAGATTGTCTAAAAAGATAAAAATGACAAAGGCAAACGAACGCGCAAACGATATACATATTTTAACAAGGACAAGACATGCAAAAGCGCTCATATTTAGACCTTGCTTTAATTAGGAGTTCTCCCAACAAAAAAAGAAGGAAGATACAAGAAGGAGACAAAAGTGAGGAAAATTGACGACGAAAATCATTAAAGAAAGCCAAATACTGCCATTTCTCGCAGCTCAAAACCTCACGCGGGCGGCTGCAGCGCATGCAGCGTTCCGGAACAGTTCCAGCACAGTGCGAGAACTGTGCTGGAGGTGTTCGGAACATCCGGGTCAGTATGAATCCGGCCTTTGGAAGCGCAGGGTGTAGGGCGAATCGCAACACCGTAATGCTTTCCGCACAGGCCATCTCCGCGCACGACACATCCTGCAACGGCTTTTGCCCAAGCAAAGCACAGGGGAACAAAAAATTTGCTGCGCGTGTGACGCGCTGGAGCAAATCATCGTGGAAGTAAAGCCTTGCAAAAAAGACCGTTCCCAGTGCATAACCTTGGGCTATTTTCATAAGCATCAACCAAAATTTCATGCCGCATATAAAAGCGGTACTGTGTAAAGTGATTACTCGATCATATCGTATCTTATGATAATCTGTGGCTGATAATGGAATGGTGTCCATGATTGATGTTAGTTCATTCTAAGCATGTACGTTCCGCTTCTGGTTGCTTTTATGGCTTCAGTCAATGTATACGCAATTTGGCCCAGAAAACTAGGACCAGGTTGGCGTAGATTCTGAGTGCAATAGAACCTTACTCGGCAAGTCCCATCGGGACAAAACTCTCTTGTGCAAAATCGTCGACATAGATTGCAGTGTATGTACTGACTGCTTGCGCAAAGCGAATTGGGAAAAAGTGCTTTTTAAAGGCAGTGTCCGGGCAAAAACTCGATTTTGAGATTTTGTGCTTATACGGACCTACTCGCCATGCTGAATCCGAAAATGCACATCGTAGAGCGCGAAAATGGCGGAAAATGGCTCTAACACTAGAGGGAAATCAGCAGGGGGCGGAGTCTCCTCCCCACTGCGAATTTACGTCCCCGGCTTCCAGAGCGACCTTCTCGCCCGGTTTCAAGTCAATCATTCGCACTTGACCGGTAGCGATCCGAAAATGCACATCGTAGAGCGCGAAAATGGCGAAAAATGGCTCTAACACTAAAGGGAAATCAGCAGGAGGGCGGAGTCTCCTCCCCACTGCGAATTTACGTTCCCGGCTTCCAGAGCGACCTTCTCGCTTCCGGTTTCAAGTCAATCATTCGCACTTGACCGGTAGCTATGTTAGGACGGCTAGCGGAATCGAGAAAATCGATTTGGGAGCTGGGGGCGTGAAATCGCATTGGGGAAAGCCCCGCCCACCTGCTAATTTCCCTCCTGTGTTAGAGCCCTTTTTTGCCATTTTCGCGCCTTCCAATGTGGATTTTCGGATTCAGTATGGCGAATAGGCCCGTATAAGCACAAAATAAATCGAGTTTTTGCCCGGACACTGCCTTTAAAGGCAGCGTCCAGGCAGATCTGGATCCATAGGGCTTTTACGTGGAAAGTACTTTGGGGGCCCTAACTAAGGCACTGTCCAAGCGGCAGCTCAGGTAGTGCTCTAATGGCTGAGAAGATATTCCCCTCGAAACTGGCCCTCGTGAACGTATTCGCATGAATTCGTGGCAGTTTCGCGCCAGGATCCAGGCTTTGCGCCATGAATTTATGAGAAACACGGTCGCGGGGTCCAGTTTCGAGGGGAATATCTCAGCCATTACAGCACTACCTGAGCTGCCGCTTGGGCAGTGCCTTAGTTAGGGCCCCAAAAGTACTTTCCACGTAAAAGCCCCATAGGTCCAGATCTGTCTGGAGGTTGCCTTTAATCAAAATTATTCGGAGAAGAATTTAACGCCCATTTGCCAGCCAACCGCACCAATGATTGCAGACTTACGCTTCAACGGATAATCTTTTACTGTTAACAGATGAAAGTGCTGCTCTCGACCTTGTGATGCGTATTTCCAAAATGACTTTCAAGGAACTCAACACACTATTAACGCTACAGGCTGAAGGAATCAAACCAGTGCAGGTGAAATCTTGAAGATTGCTCATTCCAAAACTGATGGAGGCAAAAGGCACGTGCACGCACGTGAATGCCGGACAGGGAGTCGTAGGACCCTGGCCAAACTCAGGCTATTTCAGTCGATCTGGCAATTACTAGATGCTTAAAATCCAATACTGGTAAATCCCAAATGCACAGCCTGTGCAACTTTCGTAAATTGATGAAATGATCTCTCCTTTGCACATTTATAATATGCGCACGATGAGTTATGGACAATCAGAGTACTGCCAGATCGCGTTATCGTGTTTGACCGGTAAGCCTAATAGAACGCTCGTATGTTGCCTCAGATAATAACATATTTGTCCGTGCATCCGGAATATATGCTTATTGAATACCAGTGCGTCACCTCTGCTTCGCAGAGGCTCGCACTGGTTCTACTCTATATGTCTTACTTATTCTCGCCTAATAATGGCTTTGAAACTCACCGCGCAGTGCTGGCTATCGCGAATAAAATGTAAACAACTATCATCTATATATATAAAACTCAAAAATTGTCAGTTTGGAGGGTATGTGCGTTATAGAAAGGCGCGCCACTCAACAGATTCAGCTGAAACTTTGCACACATATGATTTCGACCCTTGCGCAGATGATAGGCTACTTTTTGCGGCGATTCGTTGGGTTCTTCTATCGATTTATTGATTTGTTTACATTTTCCTAAGGAATTGAAGGGTTATCATGTTCAATCAAGCATTTTCCATACTCATGTAAAGGAGGGCGGTGAAGCTCATTTTCACCTCAGGATCACGAGGATGCGGTTTCCAAGCGGATGTCCCAGAGTAAGTCATCCATAACATATAAAGGGGGGGGGGGCTCGCAGTGCGGCGAACCATGGCCCGGGCTGGACCGGGAAAGCCAACTAGTAACTTATAATAACGGGCTAAGGATGTTTACGTGACTTTGTGTGTCTGTGTGTCTGTGTGAGAGTGTGTCTGTTACGAAATTCGTAGAGCGTGCTCCAGCCAACCTCCTGGGCCCGAATTTCGCACAGCGCATGCTACCCGCAAGAAAATCCAACATGCAAAAGCACGAGCAGATTTGTTGAGTGGATCCCTCAGAAACTGCGCGCCAAACGGGTCCACCTGGCTTCTGTATCGCAAAATTCGGTCCGTATCACCACTTTTTGCAGAGTCGTGGATGAGTTTGGTAAGCAAATGTGCAAGCAATGGGGTTTAGCCAGAAAAGTGGTCGAAAGTTTACTACATAACGAAAACGGCGCCAAAACAAATTGGTTGTGTAAATGGTCAATTTGCCAAGGTTCTAGCTAAGCGTTTGAGAAGATTTTCGCACAGAGATGTAGCTCATTATCATTACCTTTATGGCGACTATCAAGTCATGACAAATCCAAAAACCTAATCAAATTTGCGTTTGTCTTCCTGCGAAAAGTTTCATTCACGCGAAATCACCGATCTCACGTGAAAAGACTTTCTAAATGAGTGGTTGTTCACATTTTATTCGTGGTAGTCGGCATAGCGCGGTGAGTTCCAGTGCCACGATTTTACGAGAATGAGTAAGGCACATAGATAGTAGAGCCAGTGCGAACCTCTGCGAAGCAGAGGTGACGCGCTGGTTCATTACAAAAGCTTTTATATGTAAGATCGGTGATTTCGCGTGGATGTAACTTTTCGCAGAAAAACAAATGCAAGTTTGAGTAGGTTTTGAAACTTTTTTTGGTTTGGTAGTCGCCATGAGGATAATAATTACCGTGAGCTACATCTCTATGCAAAAATCTTCTCAAATGCTCAGGTAAATCCACGGCGTATTGACCATTTACGCGAACACTTCTTTTTGACGTCGTTTTCGTAAAGTAGCAAACCTTTGGTCACTTTTTGGTCTAAAGTCCATGACTTACACATCAACCTGCTAAACACATCCACGGCTTTGCAAAAAGCGTTGTTACGGACCCAATTTTGCGGACCAGAAGTCAAGTGGATCCGTTTGACGCGCAAATTCTGAAGGACTCACCCAGCAAATCCGTTCGTGCTTTTGCATGGTGGAGTTCTACGTTGGTAGCATGCGCTATGCAAAATTTGAGCTCTGGATGTTGGCTGGTACCCGATGTATGAATTTCGTTACAGACAGACACACACACACACACACACACACACACACACACACACACACACACACACACACACACACACACACACACACACACACACACACACACACACACACACACACACACACACACACACACGCACACACACACACACACACACACACACACACACACATACCCACACACACACACACACACACACACACACACACACACACACACACACACACACACACACACACACACACACACACACACACACACACACACACACACACACACACACACACACACACACACACACACACACACACACACACACACACACACACACACACACACACACACACACACACACACACACACACACACACACACACAGAGTCGCGTAAACACCCTTAGCCCGTTATTATAGTTATGATGATTTGTATTCAAATGAGAATGATTTTTGCATGCGCCCAAACTTTCTTCGTTTCCTTTTCTGCTCGTGCTCCTCTTGGCCGCTTAAGCACTTTATTGCCTCTATTCAATTCAGATCGAATTCGGATTCGATCCTGGTGCAGTATTGGCTAAACTAAATCACCACCCTTACGTGTCTTTTCTCCATTTACTCCCCATTGTGAGAAGTCTACACTCTAACCTGCTGGTTAACAGCACCGTCGTTCAAGCTATGATTTTTTAGCGTTACATGTCTCCTATGAGCTCCTTACATAAAAGTTATTTTTTTTGCTCTGTCATTCAATTCCACAAGTTCAATGAAAACTATAAAAATATGCTCGGTCCAACTCAAAAAAGCTAGCCTTATGGTAGAAATGAGTCAGATTTTAGGATGGCGAAATTTTGGATGTACTACTCACTGTTCGTGAACAAAAGATCATTGACCAACTTTCCACGTTCCGTTTGTTCTAAGTTTCTCAATTTTCACTGTCCTGATTAATCTCAAGAAAAGAGCAGGCTTTCTCTGGGTGTTTTTGCTTTCTAAAAAGAGGGGGGCTTTTGCTTCCCGCACAAACTGCAACCGTTCCCAAAAAAAGCGTGTTGTTGATATCTTTATAAAATGCAAGGCACAGTTTCGAACTCAGCCCATCCAGGGGAATCGAAAACGAAAAATACTTTGAAGTCACTTGCCGAGCCATTGCCTCGATAGGCAACAAAAAAACAGTTATCTAACAAGGTATTTCGACTTGGCCGGAGTGGCGGTTCGAAAAGTGATCTATACCAACGAATAGGACTTGAATTGCCGATTTTAGATTGTACCTTGTATTTGCGAAGCATAAAGAAGTTATGAGCTTTTCTTCCATCAAACTTTCGGGCATTTTACAGTGTGTCTAATGGGGCTAGCGCCGCATAGTGCAGTCACATATCTACGCGCGGGCGCTACCGTAGGCGCAACGTGCAGGGACCATGCTGCGCACAACATCACCGGTCTAGCTTTTATCACTGCAACTCGTAATTTTCCGTTTTTCTTTGCTTCTGCGCTCATTTGCAATCTGATTTGATACCGAATACGATTTTAACAGTAAAAGAAGGGGGGAGTATCAAATCTTTGAGCGTTTTTCCTCATGACATCTTTCATTTCATCCAGGTTTTCTTTGGATGGATAACTCTGGATGTCTTGATTCATTATATCGACTCATGTTTCAAAGGACATAATTTTGCCAGTGCATCCATCACCTCTGCTTCGCAGATGCTCGCACTGGTTCTATTATCTATGTGTCCTACTCATTCCCGCATAATGATGGCATTGAAACTCACCGCGCAGTGCTGACTTTCACGGATCACGTAAACAACTACTCATTCCTAATGCTTTTTCATGTGAGACCGGTAAACTCGCGTGGATGAAACTTCTCGCAAAAGAGCAATGCAACTTCAAATTATTTTTTGGATATGTTATAACATGATAGTCGCCATAAGAACGACAAACGCCGTGAGCTTCATTTCTGTACAAACATCTTAGTATATACTGAGCTATCACCTTGGAAAATTGATCATTTACGCGATCAATCCTTTTGGCGCCGCTTTTGTATTGTAATAGACTTTTGATCACTTTTCGGGCTGAAGTCCATGGTTTACTATCTACTATCTACTTGTCAAACATATCCATGGCTTTGCAAAAAGTGACACTATGGACCCAATTTTGCTGGCCAGAATCCAAGTGGATCCGTTTGTCTTACAGATTGAGGGGACCATCCAACGGATCCGCTCGTACTTGCATAGTGGACTTTCATGCTGTTAGCATGCGCTGTGCAAAATTTAGGCTTAGGACTTAGCTGGAACACGCTCTACGAATTTCGTATAGAGGGACACACAGACACACAAAAAGAAGTAAACAAGGCTTAGCCCGTTATATAAGGTCTTGATAGGGCATTCGAAAAATCGTGACGATGGGGCGACCGCGCGCGACATGCACGCAATTCTTGGTTTTCATTTGACTCGAATGGTTTTTCTGCTTACGTATGATGGTATCTAGACACTAAAATTGATTGAGTTGAGCGTTGAATTGATACCTTCTTGTACGAGTGTTTTATGCTCCTCTGGACACAAATTCGTTGTGATCCTGAAAATGAACTATATATATATGGTTTAGATTTGAGTGAACAGCGCCAACGCCCTGTTTCCCCAAATCTTTCAAGCTATACGTTATACGATTACAACTTACGATATTTACATTTGGCCTTAGGCCCCGGGCAGACTTCGCGCGATTTGATCGTCGCGACTGAATCGCGACGAGACAACGACATCATTCCGTGCCGATCAACTTGCATTTCGGTTGTGATACTTTTCCAACCCGGAATTTTTGAATGTAAAATGAAAATGAATGGAAATCTCGGCGATTAGATTGCGACGATCAAATCGCGTGAAGTCTGTCCGGGGCCTTAAGGAGGAAGAGCCGAGTCATCCTCAGAAA